TATTAAGTTAAGTAAAAGAACTTTGATCGGAGAGTGTGCTCTCGTGGCGTCGATTTGTTCCATGAGTACTAATGAGAAACTGTCGAAATCTAAGTATCCAAAGGAGCTTGTAGAGACGATGATTAAAACGTGCCAAGATCTTAATGATGAACGAACTAACAAAGTGAAGTCTATGCTGATAGAATTTTAAGATGATTTTGCCATTGATAAGAAGGATAATGGCAAAACAAGCATAGTAAAGCATAAAATTAATACCGGAGATGCTCAGCCAATCAGACAACAACCTAGACGACTTCCATTTGCGAAAAGAGATGAAGCCGAAGACATCATCAAAGATATGAACAAACAAGGGGTAATTGAACCATCAAATAGTCCATGGACATCACCAGTAGTGCTAGTAAAGAACAAAGATGGTTCAACACGTTTTTGTATTGACTGCCGACAGCTCAATTCGGTAACTAAAAAAGATAGTTAGCCTTTGCCCAGAATAGACGATACTTTGGATACACTTTCTGGTTCTCGTTGGTTCTCCACACTCGATCTGAAAAGTGGATATTGGCAAGTAGACATGGAGCCAGCTGATCGTGAGAAAACCGCATTCTCGGTAGGATCAGGGCTTTGGCAGTTCACAGTTATGCCTTTTGGTTTATGTAATGCCCCGGCCACATTTGAAAGATTAATGGAGGCGGTTTTAAGAGGTCTAACATGGAAAACATGCCTGGTTTATTTGGATGATGTAATTGTAGTAGGAAGATCCTTCGATGAACATGCCAATAATCTGACAGAAGTCTTGATTGCGGACAGCTAATTTGCGGACAGCGAATTTGAAGTTGAGTCCGAAGAAATGTCACTTGTTTCGACGAGAAGTGAAGTACTTGGGACATATTGTAGCAAGTAATGGTGTAACAGCTGATCCTGAAAAACTTGCAGCAATTAGGGATTGGCCAGTACCAAGAGATAAACACAAAATTAGAAGTTTTCTTGGCCTATGCACATATTACCGCCGTTTTGTCAAAGGTTTCGCCAACATCTCTAAGCCATTAACAAAGTTGACAGAAGAAGGCAAAGAATATACATGGAGCGAAGAATGTCAGAGAGCTTTCGAACACTTACAAATGGCTCTGATCAGCGCACCGATTTTAAGCTACCCTAGACAGGCAGGAAAATTTGTATTGGACACCGATGCAAGCAACAGTGCAATAGGAGCTGTTCTCTCCCAAATCCAAGATGGACAGGAGAAAGTCATTGCTTACTTTAGCAAAGTCTTGTCGAAACCAGAGAAAAACTAGTGCGTTACCAGGAGAGAATTGCTAGGTGTAGTAAAGGCTTGCGAGCATTTCCATAAATATCTATAGGGCAGAAAGTTTCTTCTTCGCACGGATCACGCTGCTCTAAAATGGCTCCTACAATTCCGTAATCCAGAGGGCCAGATGGCAAGATGGTTAGAACGATTACAAGAATATGATTACGAGATCGAACACAGGGCTGAAAGAGTTCATTTAAATGCTGATGCGCTTTCGAGAAGGCCGTGCAGTGAACATTGTAATCGATGCCTTATATTAGAAGAAAGACTTTGCCCCGTGAGACGAACCACCGTCATTAATGATCAATGGCAGCCTCAACAGCTACAAGACGCTCAAGCAGATGATCCATGTATAAAAAGAGTATTGGATTGGATGCGTCGAAGTGAAAGGCCCTCTTGGCAAGACATTAGTGCATGTAGTCCTGAAGTCAAGTGTTACTGGAGCCAATGGAATTGCCTAGTGTTAAAAGATGATCTTCTTTATAGAACCTTTGAGAACGATGATGGTACAGAATCTAAGCTTCAGTTGATTGTACCTAAAAGTAAAGTGTCAGAAGTATTGCGTCAGTTACATGACGGTGCATCAGGTGGACACTTTGGTATCACGAAGACTCTGCAAAAGGTTCGAGAACGGTTCTATTGGGTGAACTGTAAAGAGGATGTAAGAAGATGGTGCCGGAAATGTGAACTGTGTGCAACCAGTAATGGTCCAGTTGGTAAAAAGAGGGCACCCATGAAACAGTACAATGTTGGTAGTCCTATGGAAAGAGTAGCAATCGACATTGCAGGTCCACTACCAGAGACAAACGATGGAAATAAATATATCCTGGTAGCCATGGATTATTTTACAAAATGGACTGAGGCCTATGCGATACCAAATCAGGAAGCTGCTACCGTTGCAGAGGTACTTGTTAAAGAATTCTTCGAGTCAACCCTTTTCCAAAACGTTTGTAAATTGATTGGTGTCAATAAGACCAGAACGACACACCTGCATCCTCAATCAGATGGAATGGTCGAGAGAATGAACCGAACGATGGGTAAACAGCTGTCCAAAGTTGTATCAGAACATCAAAGAGATTGGGACCAGCACATTCATTTATTCCTAATGGCCTACCGCTCGGCCGTGAATGAAACTACCGGCCAGACTCCAACCTGCCTGATGTTAGGTCGTGAAGTTCGTTTGCCCTGCGACCTAGAATTTGGCTCCAGACCTTCCGAAGAACATGTTGCAAGCGAAGATTATGTCGACCGCCTGAAGTTAAGAATGAATAACATTCATGAACTTGCCCGACAACAAATCCAGTTAGCCAGTGACAGAATGAAAGATCAATACAATTCTCGATGCAATAATTAAAGCTATGAAGTAGGTGATCTTGTTTGGCTTTATAATCCACAACGTCGTCGTGGCTTGTCTCCTAAACTGCAAAGACAATGGGAGGGTCCGCATGAAATTAAAAAGAGAATAAATGACGTAATATACCGAATTAAGAAGTTGCCGAAAGGTAAACCAAAAGTAGTTCACATAAATCGTCTTGCCCCTTATGCTGGCTCAAATGAAACCGAAGAAGTCCGAACCCTTCAACATGAGATCAAAGATAAACGGCGACTAAGCTTTAAGGAGTTTATGTCAAATTACGCAGAGAGAAAGAATGCTAGATTCGGCGTGACAACAGAAGTTCAGCAGGATCTTTTTAGTGTTCCGCATAACGTCTCTCTAGCCCACTGTGTTGCCCAAGATCTTGAGATGACTACAGGAATCTCATCCGTATTTTATAAAAAATTTGGTCGCTTGGAAGAGTTAAAAAACCAGCAGCCTAAAGTTGGAAGAGTGCTGAGATTAGAAGATGGTTCTCGATCTTTGCTGTATATGGTGACCAGGAAGTCGTATACAGACAGGGCAACCTACGAGGATATATGGTGTGCTCTAACTAATTTGAAGAAAATCGTCTGCAATTACGACATTAAGAATTTGGCCTTACCCAAGATAGGCCATGCACTAGATAATCTGGATTGGAAGATTGTCAGAAGCATGATTGAAGTAATCTTCCGAGAAACCGGCGTAAGAATTACTGTACTAATCCGAAGAGGACGTGTCCTTCAAAGACAGTAGACTGTTATTTCTTTTTAAAGGGGTTCATGCAGAGCTGGAGAGTCCTGTAGATTCTGCCATCCTGGGCCTACATATAGAGTTGCTGATCGGAACGCTCAGATCTAAGAGGGGAGCAGTGTTACGAAAATGCATTCAGCGCGGCCCGTCTAACGGTTGCATCTCGAAGCATCTCGGCATCGAGAATAATCGATGGATAGATCCCTCGAAGGCAAGAGAACGATCGGTCACGTATACGCCTAGAGGTGGGAACTTTCTAGAAAATAGTAACTTTGGTATATATATGTAACGATCTTAGGAGTTAGTTTAGTTGATAAGAGAATACCGAACTGTAAAGTTATAAATAAATATATTTATATAAATTCGAACCGCTCGTTTTATTTAAAAACAGTACAGTAGCCTTAACAGCTACAAGACGCCCAAGCAGATGATCCATGTATAAAAATAGTATTGGATTGGATATATCGAAATGAGAGAAACTGTGTCGGACAAGAAATCTATAATGATATTGTATATTTGTTGTGAGTCTGTAGCGAGCAGTGACTGAATATTAAATGGTTCATATATTTTAAATTTCACTAAATTTTTGTAAAGTTTGAATGCTGTTGAAGAAACTTACAACATATAAAAATGATGTAATCAAGATCACCCAGTTTACCACAATGTTTAAAATTATCGTCTTCAATCACATTTATTTTGAATAAATGACTTGGATAATACGCATGCTTAAGTTAATTTTGTATAATTTTAAAACATTCAAAGTAAGTTCGTTTCAATGCAAATTTCTACTTCGTTATCAATTGGCATTGACCATTTGTAATTTTTTTTTGCTTATATGAATATACTCTAGTATATGTATAGTCTATGAATATATTCTGGCTATACCGTTCAGATTTTTTTGTATAGACTCTGTCAAGTGGGTGTTATCTAAAGATCCTAGTTGGCACCCAGGAGAAGAGCTAGGCCCGAACCCGTGCATAGGCAATTCCAATTTATTGATTAAAAAACTGTTCCCCAGGGAACTAAATGGGTAATCTCTGATCGAAAAGTAGTCTCCTAGGCTAATTTAGTAGAAGAAAGGGTTACTTTTGCCGCTGACCGTAATTTTGTGGAGTCACGATCATTTGTTTGTGTACCTACTGCCTGACTCTCATTTTTAAGACTTCTATGCTTTTTCAGTAAAATTATGTTACTTTTTTTATATAATTTACCGGTTTTCACATTTAGTATTTAAAACCAAACAGCGGTTTTACATTATTTATATATTGTTTATAAGTAAAAAATGACATTTAAGTTTTTGTATATTAAGTTTATTACATATTGTTACCACAAAATTTATAAAAAGTATTTGTTAGATACATGTACCAAAGAGTGTCCTTAGAAAAATCTTTCTCTGACCTACGCTTGGATATCTGATCGACGATAGAAATAAACGATTTAAAAAAAGAGAAAAGAAGCACAAAGATTAAGGTACTTATATAATAGGTGCAAGAATAGACTAATAATAAGGTACAATTCATAATTATATGTAATACCTATTCAATAAATAAACTATACACTATTAAAACAATAGAAAAATTACATACTTACCTATACAGGTAGGTACATTGTTACTCCATATTGTACCGTTACAGTAAATATCTTTAGGACCATTTAAATAGTTGCCAGCTTTACAGAAAAAATGCTGAACTGCACCACTATGAGTTGGATAAATTAAAATGTTGCCATTAGTGTTTTGTTGGGATAGGGATTTGCACGTTGGACCTTAAACCAAACATTAATATTTTATTTCAATACACAATAAAGACTAATTTCGAATCTTCTTCTTAAGATGCCTTCTCTATTACTGAAGGTTGGCTATAACTAACGCAAATTGCTCTCTATCTTGAGCTGTTCTTAGTATCGAATGCCTGTCCAGTCTCTTACATTCTTCAACCAGGAGCATTTTCTTCTTCCTGGACCTCGTCTTTCTTCCATTTTCCCTTTCATTATAAGTCGTGGGAAGTTGTATTTTTCTCCTCTGTAAAAATATGTCCTAGATAACTCGTTTTTCTGCGTTTTACAATATTTAGGAGTTCTCTCTCGGTACCCATTCTTCTTAGCACCTCGTTGTTGGTCATGTGCTCTGTCCAAGAGATCTTCATCATCCGTTGAAAAACCCACATCTCAAAGGCTTCTATACGCCTCATACTTGTAATTCCGAGAGTCCATATTTCCACTGCGTATAGCAATATGTAATAAATAAACGTTTTTACAAATTGGTATCAGATATACAACGATAACGTAGAGTTTATTATTTTCGTTGAAATGCGAACCCAACATATTTTACACGAGCACTTATTTCGACCTCGTGGTCAAGATCATTTGTTATCCAGCAACCAAGATACTTGAATCTTTGTACTGGTTCTATATGTTTATTATAGATACGAATATTAATTTCGACATTTGGTGCACATGTAACAGTCATTACTTTTGTTATATTTGTGTTTATATTTAATCCCAAGCTATCTCCCTCTCTGGTTATGACATTCAATAATAACGGTGTCATCTGCGTATTTTAAGTTGTTTACATATTCTTCATTGATTTTTATTCCTTCTTCAATATTTTCGAGGACATTTTGAAAGATCTTTTCGGAATATATATTTAATAACAGTGGAGAAAGCAAATTGAATATTCATAGAAACAATCAACTTAAAGAAATCCTGGAAGGTAAAAACATCGACAACAGAGACATAGAATAATATTAAATCTGTAGTGGAATCAGCGAGCTAATATAAAAATAGAAGACCAAACATCGGACAAAATAGAAATACGTAGAGGAGTACCACAGGGTTGTATATTGTCACCGCTCTTGTTTAATATCTACAGCGAATAAATATGCCAAGAAGCTCTCTCACATGCAAGCGAAGGGATAATAGTCAATGGAGAAGTTATCAATAACATTCGATATGCTGACGATACTGTGATAATGGCAAGAATAGCAGAAGATCTACAACGTCTAGTTGAAAGTACGAATGAGATATGTAATAACTACGGCATAAGGGTGAACGTCAAAAAAACCAAAAATATGATCTTCAGTAGGAATCCAATACGTGACACTAGTATCGCAATAAACGGTACCCAACTTGAAAAAGTAAGCGAATACAAATAATTTGGAACCCTTATCAATGAAACAGGTGACCAAAATCACGAGATAAAAAGACGTATTGAAATTGTCAGGTCTACCTTTAAAAAATGAAAAAATTATTTTGTAATCGTGATATTAGTATTCATCTACGAACTAGAATGTTAAAATGCTATGTATTCAGCACTTTACTTTACGGTGTTGAGGAATGGACTCTTAAGCAGGGGAATATTAAAAATCTTGAAAACTTTGAGATGTGGTGCTACCGCCGTATACTAAAAATAAGTTGGGTGGATAAAATTACACATGAAGAGGTAATACGCAGAATAAATAACGATCCAGAAGTTATCATGAATATAAAAAAGAGAAAACTTGAATACTTAGGCCACCTGATGAGAGGACAAAAGTACACATTCCTACAAAATATAATGCAAGGAAAAATCCATTACGCAGAAATCCAGGCCGTAGAAGAATGTCCTGGATGAAAAATTTAAGAGAGTGGTTTGGCTGTACCACTAACGAATTATTCAAAACAGCAGTAAATAAAATTAGAATCGCCATAATTATATCCAATCTCCGATAGGAGAGGCACTCAAAGAAGAAGAAGGAGAAAGTACACAAGACTATACCATGTTCTGTTGGGGTTTCTATGAGTTCTGTGTGTTTTACTCGATCAAACGCTTTTTCGTAGTCGATAAAACAGAAACGCGTCTTTTCGCTGATCTCGGCATTTTTGTAGTAATATCTGGAGGCCAAATAATGCCTCCCATGTACCAAGCCCCATACGAAATCCAAATTGATTGTCGCTCAGGTTTCTTTCGCATTCTCTGTATATTCGTTGATGTACAATTTTGAGTAAAATTTTTAGAAAATGGCTCATCAGGCTAATTAATCTGAACTGTGAACATCTATTTGCTTAATTGTTCTTGGGAATAGGTATAAATGTCGATCTAAGCCAGTCTTCTGGGAAGATTCCAGTGTTGTTACTTCCGATGTTAATATATCAAGTATTATTTCTTGTACTATATTCATTTATGGTTCTGTTCTTTCGTCATCAAACAGATCTTTGATGTATTTTTCCCACATATCTCCTACATTTTCTGGACTAGATACTATTTGGTTGTTATCGTCTACTAAAGTTGTTGTAGTGACTTCCTTGATCTTTTTGTATGCATTAAAGTACTCATGCTTTTTTAGTAAATCTCCCTGTTTCTCACAGTTGCTGATCATCCATTTTTTTTAGCTTTCCTGATTTTGTTTCGGATGATTCTCTGGGTTTCCTTAAATTTTTCTTCATTGCGATTTTTGTCAGATCTCCTTATGTGCATCAGTTCTAGGGCTTCTTCTGTCATCCATGTATTCTTTGTTTTCCTGATGTTGGCTTGTAGTTGTTCTCTTTGTATAGTTGTGATTTTTGTTTCGAAGGTGTGCCAAATACTTTATATTGTTTCTGTTGCTTCTGCAGGTACTTCACCGAACTTTTCTTTGAGTGTCTCATTGAGTGTTTTCTCTATTTTTGCCTGTATTATTGGATCTTTAAGTTTTTCGAGGCTAGGTTTTATCTTCTCTTTGTATTTGATTTTCTTTAGTTTAATTGAAATTCTATTAACAACAGGATTGTGGTCGGACTGATGTTCGCCCCGGAATATATTTTAACTCCCCTGATTCCATTTCTATAAAGTTTGTCAATTAATATATAATCAATCTGGTTTCTTATTATGCGGTTTAGATTATCGCCAGGTGCTTTCCATGTATATAATATTTTTTTAGTTGTTTAAACCAGGTGTTTGCGATCATTAGATTATCTTCTTGGCAAAATTGGACCCGTGTTTCTCCTCTATTATTTCTTTGTGCCAAACCAAAGTTTCCTACTACGTCTTTGGTCCGCCCTTTACCTACTTTGGCATTAAAATCTCCCATAATAATATTTACAGCATTTTTCTTTGTGATATTCATTAGCTTTTGATCTCTTTGTAGAATTCTCGTACTTATCTTTCTGATTTTTCTGCTGTAGGAGCATATACTTGAGTAAAGTTATTTTACGAGGAGTGGTATTAATTTGCAGCATAGCTACTCTATCAGATATAGGTATAAAGTTCTTTATAAATTTACTGCTTTTCTGGTCAACCATAATTGCCACTCCATTGTAATGATGAGGATCGTCATTACTAGCATAGTATATTACATGGCTATCGATGTTTTTCTGTCCAAATTCAGGCCATCTGACTTCAATGACTCCGAGAATGTTGACTCACATTCTTTTCATTTCTCTCACAATGTTATGAGATTTTCCTGGCATAAAGAGTGATTTTGCATTCCAGGTTCCAATTTTTAATTTGTAATTTTTGTTTTTTACTTTCGGGTGGTTCCTAGCATTTGTCATGGGGATTCTTAGCATCCCTTGACCATCTAAGGTCTGCCACGGACTAGGGGCCTTTTGTTTTCCGTAACTTGCCATAGTTATAATATCTTGAGAATATTTAATGTGTTAGTTTCTCCTTGCCTTACACACCGCAGTATTATAGCTGATTAAACCAATATCTGATTGTCACCCATAAGTATCTGATTCCAAGCCTATTAAGAAGTCATTCTTCCCCACAGCGTTGGAGTTAGGAGTGACATAGCTGCTGCCCTATACCATGTCCTCAGTTGATCCGCGGGTGCTTATTTGGCGAACCTTATTCGAACCTATCCTATATAATATACAGGCCGTCCCCTATCAGCCATATGGGACGCGCAGTGTCGGGATTGAGGAGTTCCCCGCCAAGTCTGTCTTTTGCAGAGCGCTGAAGAATCCCTACTTAGTTCAAAACATACTAATTTCGAATACATGGTGTAAATTATTACTTTTAAATCAGTATCTCAAAATTGTAACGTATTTAACTATAAAATGTTTACTAACATTCTTACCTACCAATATCTTCCTTCTTGTACGTCAAACAGGGATAACCGATGATCATTGTATATATATATTTCGGAAAAATTTCCGCGGTTAGTACAATGAAACCTAGAGCTAAGATTAATATTATTACTAAAATTATTATCAAACTCACCAGTCTTTCGGGTTGAACCGCGTCGATATCGATATCCATTTTGCCGAGCTTTCGGCATCCTCTCTGATGCCTTCCTCAGGGCTTCCGAGGTCTCAGTTTCCCGAGCCCCCAGACACTACTACACTGTTCACTAATCACTGCAGTGACAGTGCAGTGACAGTGCAGTGATTAGTGAACAGTGTAGTAGTGTCTGGGGGCTCGGAAAACTGAGACCTTGAAAGACTGGTGTGAGTTTGATATTAATTTTAGTAATAATATTAATCTTAGCTCTAGGTTTCATATATATATATATATATATATATATATATATATATATATATATATATATATATATATATATGTATGTATAATTATTTATATAATATAACAAGAGGATGATAACAGCTGATAATTCGCTGGCCTTAATTTTGCTTATCTTCACAGGGGGCAACTTGTCATTCTTCATTTTAATTGCACTTTTGGCATTTATGTACATGTTTACTATAGCGTCAATTTATGCGTATTACTTAGGTCTGCCTTCGTCAATATCTCAAACAATCTTTAGGGTACTGTATCATAGGCCTTCTCTAAGTCAACAAACGTTAAATACGTCGGGTAGATTTCGGGCTGTTTTTTTCTAGTTTAAGTATATTTTTAACACAAAATCTGTCAGTACCTACAGAATCCACTCTAATCTTTAATTTCTTTAAATTGGTTTTCGATTTTTTTTGTCTCTTTTTTGTGAATAGGACTAGCTCCATTCTTCTGAAATATTTTCTTGTTTGATTAGAGATTTATTAAAGATATAAAATTCTATTAGTATTGACAGTCCGAGTTTTATTAACTTAATGGGGATGTTTTCAACTCCTGTGGCTTTCTTGTTTTTCATTTCCTTTAAGGTTCATCTTATCTAGTCCACACTGAGTGATTGTAGTTCCTCTATTGAATCTCTTCTGAGGTCCCTGTAATTTATTTCGCAATGTGGTCTTGCTTAGGTTAATAGGAATTTGTAATATACTTTGCACTTTGACATACATATGGCGCAGAGCTGGGTAGTATCCGGATACTTCTGTATCCGGATACAATATCCGGATACTTTTTATGTATCTGAAAGCTGTATCCTTATACTTTTTAAATTTTGTATCTGGTATCCGTATCCGTAATCAAATTTTAAAGTATCCGGCATCCGGATACTTTTTTTGATATTCGGATACTTTTAAATATTTATCGCCTGCCGATAATGCACCTAACGTAGGCACAACACTGCCATTTCTTCAATCCAGATGTGTCTAATATGTTAAATCCCATTTTTTGTACTCGTCACTGTTATAATATATTATTATATAGCTAATGGAGCTTTGTTTTTACCTAATCAGCTATAAATCTTCATAAGTACGTTGTTTAATTAATTACTTACATTTATTTTTTATATTTTCTATATTTCTATTTTCTATATAATTTATGTCCTTAAAAAAAGTATCCTTCAAAGTATACTAGGAAGTATCCGAAAAAAATATCCGGATACTTGTATCCGAATACATTTTTGAATGAAAGTATTCTTCCTTTTTTTTAATAAAAGTATCCGGTATCTGGATACTTTTTTCAGTATCCGACCCAACTCTGATATGGGGTTTAATCTCCCTAATGATCATTATAAATAATGAAAAAATATACAATCAATATCATAAAAAACTATACATTTATGAAACATGAAAACAAAAATTTTATTCACAAAAATATTCGATCTAAAAATAGTTGGATTTTACTTACGCACACATTTTGGAATTTCTGGATCCCATTTACCACGAGTACACGTACTGAGTTTTTCCCCTGCCAATAAAAACCCCCTTACGCAAAAAAATTTGGCTACTCTTCCTCTAGCTCTTCGTCTAGCTAATCCATTTTGTAGATCTATAGTTGGACACATATGCAGATTTTCTAAAAAGACACAGATATATTATATTTTTATTAGTTTTTAAAATAAATAATTTATAATTAAGCAACGATGGAACATATGGAACAATGCCATCGGAAAGTGGCGTCCATACAATGCAAAGAGATCAAGAGGCAGACCACAGATGAGGTGGAAAGATGACATCAGGAAACAAGGAGGTCCCACATGGCAGAGAACAGCTCAAGATAGGGAAAGATGTAGAGAACTGGGGGAGACCTATATCCAACAATGGAAGGATAGAGAATAGGTTCAAAAAAAAAAAAAATTAAGCAACCAGTTTTGTAAGTTCTTCAATACCTATGAACTATGAATCTAAATCTATTTGTTTTAAATCTGCAGACCTAACAAATTGTCTTTAATTCTATCACGTTGAATATTTATTGTAAAGTGTTTTAAACTTTTGTTGCTACAATATTCTTACATACATGATTTTTATTTAAGAAATTTTAAGTATTACTAAATCAAACCAGGGAAATAAGCAAAAAAGTACCCTGTTTGTGACACTCGTCCGGCCCAACCGACAGTTGTTTTGAGTAGTAGGGACCTCTATAACAAGAACCCATATGCTTCTTGCAGTCGATTTTTTTTTTGACTTACTTAATTAACCATTGACTGCATAAAACTGAGTTTTTCATATTTTGATAGCCTGAATTTTTTTACAAATTTAAAAGGAAAACAGTTAACCTAGGACTCTTTGGGACGAAGTTAGTGCGTTTTTTTTTATAAATTGATAGAAGTTTTGTTTATAACAATTAAGAAACCTAATTATTGTACTAGGTAACCTAACCTAACCTAACCTTTAAATTACACACAATGTTGGGTCTTGTAAAATAAGATCAAAATTTCAAGTTGATCGATCAAAGGGTTAAAAAGTTATTTAATTTGTTTATACCAAATTATCTTTTTTTGCAACAATATTAGTCAGAAAATTAAAAACGTATATTAAATATACAGATAGATTCTAAAAAAAGATTTATTCTAATAATATTATTAAAAAAATGATAAACAATAATTTTAGATTGCAAAATTATTTAGCAAAAATTTGTCAATTCTTTGCTTATAAACAATTAAAATAACTTTCTAACCATTGACTGCAAAAAACTGATTTTTTATATTTTGACAGCTTGAGTTTTTTTACAAATTGATAGCAGCTTTGTTTATAAAATTAAAAAACCTAATTAGGGTCATCTGAAAGAATATACTTTAGGATTTATACGTGAAAAATACGAAAAAAATTGCATTTTAATGAAATCGTCCACAAAGCTTCAAAATTGTGGTCCTCAAAATTGGTTGGCATTAAAACTAGTGAGAGAGTAGCTGTTTATTATTAACAGATTTCGACGTTTCTTTTTTTAATTTGTATGTTGTTTTTGCGTACATTAGGAATATGTAGTATTTAAATAATTAAGTTGTTAAATAAACCATCTAATTTGTTTTAACATTTTTTTTCAGTTTTTATTTATTTTTTTTTAGTAATAGAGGTAATTTTAATTCTAAAAAATAAATGTTTATGAATAATATATATACTTCTTTAATAAATTCGTAAATATATTATTTATAATAGATTTTATGAAAAAAAAAAACAAATTATCCTATTCAATTATTTCTAAAAATATTATTGGTTTATGTATGGAAAACAAATAATCCCAGATAAAATAGGTTTAATTTCTTGCTAGCGTTCTAGGCGTTTGGCTTTTGCCGAAAAAGTTCGATTTCATATCCACATGCTGAAACTTGTTTTAATCAATATTATTATGATGCCAATATGCTATTCTCAAAAGTTTTCCGAAAATTTTCCTTGGCAACCTATTTATGTACAACAATTTTTTTTTAATACTTTGAGAGTTATTTCAAAACGAAAATAATTCTTATGAGATTTATGTAGAGCGCTTACTTTAAACGTAAGTGGCAAATAAACTATTTAACTAGCAGAAAAAAACAATTTTAGCGTTTTTCGAGGCTATTTTTTAATAGGTTGAACACCAAGAAAAAATACAAGATAAAATCTTAAGTCATTTACTCTTCTTATATAATTATGATTAGAAAACTATTCAAATTCAAAATAAATAGGATCAACTTCGGAATCCGAGTTGTCTTGAGGGTTAATAATTAGCGGTTGTGTCTCTACGGTCGCATCAATTATGTTATCAAGATCCCACATTTTTTTTCTTCTTCTATTACATGTCGTATAACAATTAACGTACAGCTTGTATTTTATATGACGTATTTTTTCTAGCCACATAACTTTTCATTTGTGCCCAAATGAGTTCAATTGGATTTCTTTTGCAGTGGTAGGGTGGAAGTCTAAGGACTGTGATATTTCAACTTTTCGCCGTTTTGTCAACTAGGTATGTATTTCTTGAACTTAGATTTGTGTTCCCGGGAAATTTTTAAAAGTTCTGCTTTTACCGTTCCATCTTCGTAAGGCAGATACTTATTCCGCAGCCAGTCAAGAATATCCTGTTTCTTTCACACAGTCGTTGGAAGTCTTTCTACTAGTCGTGAATGATAAGGTGCATTATCTAATACTATAATTGAATTTGGTGGTATCTGTTCAATTATCTGTTCAAAATACTCTTCGAAAACATCAGCTGTTATCTCCTCGTGATAGTCTTGTGTCCTTTTGGATTGAAATTCCAACAAACCATGCTTAACAAATCCTTTTTCACTGCCAATGTGAGAAATTATTCATCTACTGCCTTTACCGGAATGGGGAGATACCAGTAGACCAACCTTCCATAAAGCTTAATATATTTTTATCTGACCAAATTTTTTTAGAGTATGACCTGAGTTTACCCACGTTTCATGCTAGTAGAAGATTGGCCTTCCTTCAGCCTGGAATTTTCGTATGGATCTTAGATAATTTCTTTCCCAACATATTATCTCCTCCCGGTCAATCAAAAGTGATTTTTGGTCTGATTTCTCTCACCGGAAATTTAATTCTTTTAAAACTTGCCACAATTTAGTTTGTCCGATAAGAGGCAAATCCGGGTCGTCTCAAACTTCTTGTAAAAATTTTTTTAGGTTTAGTATTTCTTTTTTGAAAAAAATCCATGATTTTTCCTTCGAATACCATTTTTGGCAAATTCATCAATTTCAATAGGATTCTTTCCTCTTTAAGTGTTCGTTTGTGTTTGGGTATGCTGGCAAGTACTCTTGACCACGGCGCAGTAGACGAAATTTGGTTTAGGCCCCACTTCCACGCGAAACGCACTGTACTATGCAACGTGAAAATATAGACTTGAAAATTTTTAGTTGTGTTTTTGACTTTGAGGTGTTAACTTCAATAAGTTTGTGTATTTTCTCCCGTTTACCTGTTGCGTATTCAAATTTATTAAAAGCGGTCAAAAGGTAGGTACTTTATCATAAATTAAAATACATAGGGGTGCATTAAGGAAATTTCAATAAAATTTTTTCATTTCTTTTTTGTTTTGAGACTGGTGCAAAACAAAAATTACTTGCAGTCTGTTTCAATTAATTGGTTAATATTTAATATTGGAAAATCTTTTTTTTTTTAAACTGCTTCATATGTTATGATTTACGTTGATTTGAGATTACATTTTTTTTAAATCTTTGTTTTATATATCGTGTTCTTTTTAACATAAAATTACATACATTTTTAAAACTTTTTAAACATAAAAAATAATTTTTGTTGATAAAAATAGACAATTTCAATGCTTATTTTATAGATACGTAGTTATGTAATCTTAACATTTTTTTTAATTCGTTGTTGGATAATAATAAAATTATATTCTTTTGGTGATTTTTTTTTATAGAAAAAATAAACATTTTATAACACCTACCAAACATAGAAGTGATATTTTTTTAAATTTATATTTAGATCAATCATAATTGTTTAAGCAAAATATTTTTATATTTTTATTTCCTTCACGGAGCCATCATAATGAATAACAGCCGTGTTATTCACAGTCAGGGCCGACATATTGTTTACAATGTGTATAAGTTTTTAAAAACGGAACAAGAAAAACACAACACAAAATCTTCGGTTTTAAATATGGTTGTTGAAGCCACTGGAGTTTCTAAAAGTAGCGTCCAAAGAATTATTAAAGAAGGAGAGAGAGTTTCCGATTTTTCATCTCCTTCAGGCAGCTCGGGAAATGTCTTTAAATCTTATGAGGGAGAAATTATAAGAAAAACAGTGCATACCTTTGCAATGATTCATGGCAGCAGGTCTACAACGTCAGCTGTTTACAACGCTGTTAAGAATGAGATTAATTATCAAGGTAAACTATCGTCGTTCAGAAACGTGTTGAATAAATTAGCTTTTAAATGGCAAAAAAAAATGACAACCGAAAAATACTTATGGAAAAAACGGATATTCAAGCCAAACGAACCGAATATCTAAAAAATATAGAGCTGAGGATTATAATGTTATCTACACAGTTGAAACGTATCTCCACAGCAGCCATACAACATCTAAATCATGGGATAATTGTTCAAGCAAGTGTTTAAAGTCTCCTGTTGCCAAAGGTCAGCGGTTAATTATCGTACATGCAGGAGGGGAAAAAGGTTTCGTTCCAAATGGCCTACCAATTTTCAAACCTGGTCAGCGTACTGGAGATAATCATAATGATATGAACCACGAAAACTTTATAAAATGACTTCAAAAAAAGTTAATTTCCAACTTGCAGCAGAAAACCGTGCTTGTATTGGACAACGCATCCTATCATAACGTAGCCTGTGAAGTTGCCCCTACATCTTCATGGAAAAAAAAGGACATGCAGCGATGGCTAACAGAAAGATGCATTTATTTTGCAGTGACTGATACAAAACCAGAACTTTATGCAAAATTAAATTGAATAAACCAGCACATAAACAATATGTAGTAGACACTATAAATGGCGAAACAAGGACACATTGTGTTACGTCTTCCTTCATATCACCCTAAACTAAATCCCATTGAAAAAATTTGGGCAGTAGTTAAAAATCATGTCACTTCAAAGAATGTGTCGTTTAAAATGTC